TGAGAATGATTCAAAAAGGATCATAATAATGAGAATAATACTATTATTGATAACATTTATTATGATAATAATGATTTTGGTAAAAATAACTAATACATATTGATGATGATGATAGCAGTAATGATCAAATTATTAATGTTAAGATAAAGTATAACAGTAGGACAGAGGAAATAATGCTTAGTCTGGGTTTTAAGCATCTTATGAGCATCCTGTGGGAAGTACTGATACGTCACGGCGGAGCAGTCAAGCATTCGTGAAATAGTGAAATCACTGGTGAAATTTTGTAAACAAGACTACGAAATATATTGAACAAATTCACTGCCTAAAATATTCACGGGTAAAATACAACGCTCAAGTCAAGTCAACAGGCGTTCTGTAGATTTTTCTATAACTGTCAGACGGTGCAACTGATATCAATTAAGCTGGAATATAAGAACGAGACGGAGTGTCATTGCTTTGATTTAAGTTTGCTCCAACATCTCACAAACATTAACATGTGGCATAAAAGGTATATATGTAGATACTATTGAGAGAAAGTTATAATAATTGTACTATGTCATATAAAGTCTGATACATTCGCAGAGGCTTTTAATAACTCAAATACAGGAATTTTCGTTAACACGCCCACATACTGCTGCCTTGCAAAAAAATAATGATAAGTTAAACAAACAACGATATGCCAGATCCCACGCGCTTCCTTCCGTCACATCAAGAATCCTTCGGCCTAAAGGAAGGACTACCGGGAGCCCGGTAATCGCGCATCGGGTCTCCCGTGTACACTCGAGGGTACCGGTACAAGGGCGGGAGACCGAAGCACTGCGAGTACTTCATCCCGCACGCCCCTCCGGCCGCGCCTGCAGCTCCTGCTTCCTCCACGCCCTTGTACAGAGTAGCGTTCTCCTTCTTCAGCCACGACGCGGCATTGGCGCTAAGAAGAGGAAGTTGCATTGTTAGAATATTCGCATAAAACTAAGGGTATGTATATATATATATATATATATATATATATATATATATATATACATATATACATATATATGTATGTATGTATGTATGTATGAATATACGTATATACATATATATATATATATATATATATATATATATATATATATATATATATATATATATATATATATATATATATATATATATATATATATATATATATATATATATATATATATGTACATATATATATACATATGTATGTGTGTGTGTGTATGTGCGTATTCACATGCACACACACACACGCACACACACATATATACATGTATGTATGTATAAATAGAATTAACAACCCAAAAGCTTGACCGAGGACCAACCTCGCCACAGTCGCAATCATCGTGCCAAGGGGTCCGGACGCCGCCGCCTCCTCCGCCGCCTCGCACATGAACCTCTGGGCGCACTCCCGGTCTCGCGTGGCCAGTGTGTTGAGGAAGCCCCTGTACAGGCTGTAGCACGCTGCTGCCGCCCCCTGCGCCTCCGGGCCAGACTGTTTTGACGTTTGCATGTGTAGGTCAGGGATAAGGGTATGGCCGATGAATGATGTGACGTTATTATTGCTATCATCATCACTGTCACCATCTTCGTTATCAGTATCATGGTCATCATCATGACTATTATTATTACTTCTGAAATTTGCTTTTATTTAAACTCCCCCCTCAGAATCAACTCGCTTCCATACCTCCAGCGCCAGAGTCATGAGGATGTCAGGATCCATGCTCAACCCCTCCTGGACAGAGCGCCTCCTTCGGTTCCCATCCTGCAGCTCCAGGATCAGATCCAGCAGCGCCAGCAGGAAAGCCAGGAACCCGAATCCAGTGAAGGCGTCGTTGCAGCCCCCGGAACCGCTGAAGAAGGGAATGATGAACCTGGAGGAGGAAATTTTGAGGTTGATTAAAGTAGAAAAATACGTCACCCTGCATGTGACTCCTCGTACCTGTCTGTTAGAAATAATGCAGTATATTTTTTTCTGATCAGACAATATATTAACTTTTTGTATTGTCCACACTAATGTATTCTATAACTACATCATAGCTATTGCTGAGGAGTGTGTCTTTCATGTTTGTCTTACAACACAGTGAATTACAAACATCCAGAATTGAGCAACGGACTGAGCATATATCCTCATTTTAGTTTAATCCCATTCCATTATCGAAAGTATTCTAATGCCTTGTCTCTTTCCCCATCCTTATTATAAGACGCATCTCTCATACATAACAGAAGCACAAAAACTTTACACACACTTTATTTCAATTGCTGTGCATTCACCTTCTCTCCTTCTCATCTTAAAATAAGCTCACAATTTAATCAAATCCTTGAGTTCTATTCATCCTTGCCAAAAAAACTCACCTCCCTGATTCTGCTGGCTGAGGCTCTTGAAAAGTACTCTTCACTTTCTCCGCCAGAACGTGTGTTACGTCGCTAAAGGAGAAAACCATGTCTTCGGGCACGTAGTTAAGGCCCTCCATGTCTTTTCTCTTCTTGTTCCTCTTCTTCTTCTTCTTTTTCCTTTTCGTTGTTATGAAGTGGCGCAAATGGAATCCGCTTTTCTAATCTAATTGTGAACTGCGTGGTTTAAGTGGTTATGTTATCACTACAATTATGTGCATTTTATAAGCAAGCACAAGCCGGTCACAGTGCAAGAAGCGAAGGGAAACCGTAACTACACTATCAGGAACTGACTGAGACGAAGGAGAACAGGGAAGACGTGCTCAGCTGAGAGTAGGCGGAGCTTTCGATTCGAAGGGGGCGTGGCCTTGGAAATCAAAAGGGGCGGAGCATGGTAAAGAAAAGAAACAAAGAAGTACAGTAAAATAGTCTAAAATCCCATTTTCACTCATAAACTACATAGCAGTGAAGCGATCACAAGATAATAAGCTGAACATACGAACAAATCAGGTGCGCCGATGCACAGCCGCAATCGGAGCGTCGGTCAAGTACGGTTTCGGGCGCGGACGGATAACGGCCGGAGACGCGTCCATGCGAGGCAGTTTAACATAACGGTAGCCAGTGAACTACATTCTATAATTTGACTTGTATTTGTTCACTAGAACAGGCAGTGCACTTTTATTTCGATTTGTTAGTTGCTTTTCTTGAAAAGAAGTATTCATATAAATGTTACATCTACTAAATGACATATAATGTCATCAGACAATATGTAGGTAACAGCTTGTCATCTGGATTAACGGAAAATTAATAAATAACAAGATTATTTCTAGTAAACTGGTTATGAATGATCCTTTTTCACCATCTACGACTGTTTCACTGTTTACCGAGGAATATTGAAGTTGAAGAACAAAGTATCATAATTCTCAATATTTATTTTTGACTCATACAACCTAAGATCCTCTTCAGATTTTTTACATAGAATATATTTCCTTTACACTAAATCTGAATGTAAAATCTATTAACCACCATACATTAAGTCTTTTTCTTCCCTAATATCTTGCTTTTGCCAGTTAGAATTAACTAAACGTTGCATAAGACCATCCGAAGCGTTCCTCCATATCGGTAACGTTGCAGGATCGTTCAAGATATGTTGCAGATCGAAGTCATGAAGTTGCACACTCGTACAGTTGTGTCTGGCGTAGCGACTGCAATCTCGCTCGAGTTCCGCCCGGCGAGTCACTGGGCCGAACCCGCTCTCCTGCAGGCCCGGCCACCTCGCGAGCCAGTCGCTGAGGGAATGAGGAGGGAAAGCTGTAAAGGCGCGTGAAAATGACAATATATATGTCTCTCCCTGTCTATATGGCTTTCTTTAGTTTTTCCCCTTCCTTGGCTTCTTACTCTTACGTTTCCTCATCCTCTTTCCGAATCTAATTTTCTCCCTTTTTGTCTTTCTCTCTTTCTCTTATGGGTCAATGTGATCCTTATATAGTACAGTACTTTTAAGTAACCCAAATAACCATCGGTTCAGAAAACATACTACCAAAGTCCAACCTATGTTAAGCGCTGCGAAATTAAACAGATAAAAATACAGTATAAATTATTAACTGTTAGGTCAATCAAAGCCATTTACTGTACATGTGTCGCTGGCTCATGAGAGATTGGACGCCATTTTCTCACAGAATCTCCTTCTGCAGTGCGAAAGCCACTAACCTGGCTAGGGCGGTGAAGGAGGCAGCGAGAGGACCCCGAGACGCGGCCGAGGAAGCAGCGTCACACAGGAGGGCGTGGCTACATGAGGGCGGGCTTGCTATGGCCTTCATCACGCCTTCCGTTAATTGTGACACCGCCCACACGCCCTCGGAGAGATCGAGACTATCCTGGGTTGACACAGATACATTATCATGTTAATGACTTGCTAATTCTTTCAAATAAATGGATGTTATAAGTAATCAACATTATGATGAAATTAGTTGTAATAATAAAAGATTCTAATCCTCCTTTTCATCCCTTACACCTGCTCTTGACAAAATCTGAAAGCTTCTATTCAAATACCCGACTCTTACCCGACACGCCTCCGCCGCCTCGTACACCGACCTCCGCCTCCGGTTGCCATTGAGGTCGAGCACCAGGTTGAGGAGGGCGAGCAGGAAGGCCAGGAAGGCGAACACCTCGAAGCCTCCGCAGCCTCCGCCTCCGTAGCCGCTGTCACGAGGCATCCTGAGGAGAGACAGCAGATGTATTTTTTCTTCTCTTCTTTTTTTATGGTGATTTTCTCTTGCTCCTCTGCTAGCTTTCCTGCTTTGCACGCAACTGTTCACCTCTCTCTTTTATCTTTTGCTCTTTCTCTGTCTCTATCAGTCTGCTCCCACCCCCTTCGCCTCGCTCCTCCTTTCTCTCTCTTTCTCTCTCTCTCTCTCTCTCTCTCTCTCTCTCTCTCTCTCTCTCTCTCTCTCTCTCTCTCTCTCTCTCTCTCTCTCTCTCTCACTTTCTCTCTCTTTCTCTTCCTTTCTCTCTCCCTCTCCCTCCCCTCCTCCTCTCTCTCTCTCTCTCTCTCCCTCTCTCTCTCTCTCTCTCTCTCTTATTCTCTCTCTCTCTCATTCTCCCTCTGTCTCTCTGTCTCTCCCTCTCTCTCTCTCTCTCCCTCACTCCATCTGCTTAATCACGTGGCCCATTCAGTCACAAGACATTCACTCTCTTATCGATATTCGCAACTTACCTCTTATCATTCGAGACTTCCCCTTCAACGAGGTGAGCGAGCTGCTTCAGGAATTCGGTTTCCATTTCAGCTGCAAAATCAATAATCTTCTTGGATGACGTCTATATAGTTGTATGCAAGGAACACTTGGCGTTCTGTGTTTCTTGTCCCGTTAGGTTCTTCTCTCTTTTCAAGAATATCACAGTCTTATGACAAGATTATCATTAACGATAAAAGACGCTTTATGATCCATTTTCTTTCATGTTAGGTTTTCGCGTTTATCTGCTAGCGGCGGGCTACTGCATGTATGTGTGTGTTAACTCACGCCCACTCCTACACTGAGCCGACTAACGGACCGGCGCCGCGGGACCGTGACGAGTCCTCATTTCGTGTGATATGATCCAGTGGTTCATGAAGGAAAATGTGTTTCTTTTGTATCACTTTATTAACATGCTTTGAAGTTCGTGCTACAGATATCCGTTTTTGAATGAATTTGGTTCAAATTCATATCATTTACCTAATTCATTTAACTATTTAGTACTGTACAGTTACCATTATCGCAGTATAACCTTATGATATATGCAATGTCTACACATATAACGCATACATGTTTCTGTGTGTGTGTGTGTGTGTGTGTGTGTGTGTGTGTGTGTGTGTGTGTGTGTGTGTGTGTGTGTGTGTATGTGTGTGTGTTGAGTGTGTGTGTGTGTGTGTGTGTGTGATAATAATAAAAACAGATCACATCAGCCCAACTTCCGCTTCTTGAAGGCTCCAAGCGAACACTGAGGCAACTGGCATTCGCTTTTCTGAAGCAAATCGACCGCCATCCCCCCGCGCTGCGCTCGAGACGCGAGCCCAGACAGCACACCCGCCCCGTGCAAATCCTCTGCCTCTTGCAGGTACGAGCACACCTCAAGCAACGCCTCGCACGGGTCTTTCATATCCGCAGTGACACCGATGTTCTGGAACATTCCAAACGCGCGCTCAACCGTGCTTCCCAAGAGGCGCAGCGCCGCTTCCGAGCCGCCCCCGACGACCCCCGCCCCCCTCCTCCTGCGCCGGCCGATGGGAGGGACGACAATGACCACGACGGAGGACGAGTCGGTGTTGGAGTTGGCCTCGTTGTAGGTGTCCGACACGTGGTTCCCGGCGTTGATGTTGTTGTTGTTGTTGTCATTGTTGAGGTTGTTGATGACGTTGAGAACCCCGTTGAACGCGAGGAGAGCGAACGTCAGGAGATCGAAGGAGTTGAAGCCGAAGTTACCCGCGTGTTGGGGGCATCCTGCGGCTTCTCTCCGGCCGCGAGGGGGTCTCAAGGACGGCCTTTTGGCTTCAGAAGTCGAGGCTCCTTTGGAATTTCTTAGATCTTCTTTCAGGGGACTGGTCTCTCGTCTCACACTGATATCAGCGAAGTCTTTACCTGTCTGTAAAGATCTGAAGTGCTGCATATCTCTTTCAGGAATTACATTTCGAGCAATAGCTTGTATTTCCCTCCTTATTTTGAGGACTGTGTCTTCGGAGAGACCACAGGTTAGCTGAACCGTTAGTATTTGTGATGTAATAAATATAACATATATAGCACGGAGACCCATCTTTTGTTGGTCAGATTTACAATTGATTTATTGCACACACAAATAAAAGCATGAGAATCTTTGTGTAAATAACTGGAATTGACATCAAAGGCAACGTTAGTTGTTTTGACAATTTCTCAAATTTCTGCCACTTATCATGAATATATACCTATTAAGTCTTCAACTGATCGGAGTTCACGAAGCACTGGTCTCAAAATCATCACTCGTTGAACTGAGCTGAACTCAGATTCTGATGCTACTGAGACTAGTCACGGCAGAAACTACAACAGACTAATGTAAGCGAGAGGAGAGGCAGGGAGCGCAGCCTGTAACCGTTAATTAAATAAACGAATCACATCTGCTCTTTCCACTGTGTTAGCGTAAATTCAACAGGCGATGTTGTCGTTGGTTTTATGGGGATAATGAGATATATTGGTAATAGTATGTTTATCCAGTTCTTTATACCTTGTGCAATAGGTATGAATGGCCCGCTGCCAAAAAAAAGGACTAGTAACAATGCCGAAACTGTTATTTCAATTATTGGCATGGCTAGAGTAAAAACAGGATTATTAGTGCTTATAGATTTTGAAGCTGCTGATGATAAAGATAAGGATAGTGAAGATTATTGTAAAAAACAAAACAATACAATACACACAGCAACAATATGAATACAAATGAACTATAGATTTATATAAAGGACTCAAGTCATGCACAAAATCTGTTCCTCAGGTTTTATTGCGATTAAGGGGGATATCCGTTTCTAAGAAATGGTGCATATCGTAAGGCAGCGGGTTGGGTTCTTCGTGGATGGCCGTGGCGTTGCGAGCGAAAAGGACTTCTTCAGGCGAGGCGCTGAAGACGCTCACTTCCGCGGGCTTGTAGGAACTGTTGAGGAAACGCTTCCGTGGGTTAGTCTGACCTTGGGACTGACATGGAAATGATGACGTGATATGTATTGGAATATGATATTTACTGGGAATATGAAGGTTAATTACAAGCTTTAGCTACACCTATCTACATATCTATATCCCTAAAAATATGTCTATCTTTCTAAAACAGCATGTTATAAGACAGCCAACCTGTAAGGTGAAGCGGGATGAGCCACAAGCAGGAAATGAGCAGGGCCGTACCGCAGCCTGTACAGTCCTTGGTGACCTTCCCTAGACTCGATGCCAAAAATATTCAAGCACTGTTGAAAGCAAGAAATAAAAAACAATTTTATATAGCTTAAAATTTCATATTGATAAATTATATTTTCTTCTGTTCTAACCACTATCAGTATATCTGCAGCACCATATCTCATTCAGTGTTATTCAGACGACAAATAGACCTACATGAGCTAGAGTCTCCCATACAACGTTGTTTCTAAATCCTTTAATATCTTCATCCAGCTTAAAGAACAGGACGAGGACATCATTCTCTCGAACACTGATTTTCCTGAAGAAATCTCGTTGGCAAGGCGTCTCCTCCGGAAGCAGTAGGAACTTTGCCCTTTTCAGCATTGAGACGAGAGTGGCTTCGTATTTGTCTTTGTACAATCTGTTATATAATAAAACTTTATAAAATTCATATGTTTGTGTAAAGGCATATGTGCTTACACACTTTAAAACTTAAACATATACCTAGGAATGGATATCTACTCAATTATGCTATGACATTTCCCACTGTTACGGCACTTGAAAGACCTTCCATATTACTCACTGGTCCACTCCTTCCACGAATGCCTGTGGGTCCTCGTTAAGGTTTTTATTTGAGAAATACCTCCTGACGGAGACCTGGGTTATGTGCGAGCCGTCGTGAGCGAAGTGAAACGAGCGAGACACCTGTTTTGATATAATCCATAGGTAAGAGGAATGGTATATGTAACTAGAATATCGAAACAGTGGTTTTAGGTTAAGTCAGAGATACAGTGGTACATATGGACACAGAATCTATTTGTAATTGAGACATGCCCGACGTGCAAAGTGGTACAGAGTGCACCCACAACAGTGAACCACCTGTCATGAGATCATTCGCAGTGCCTACCTTACGTTATTAAGGAATGAAATCGGGCAACATCGTTCCTGTGTATTGCTTACTTATTGCTGCCCAAACCCAAATACCTTTTATATCCACATAACGGTATAACTCCGCGCCTACCTCCGGGATGATGCACTCACGCCCACGCCTCAGATAGTAGTAAGTGACCACGTCCCAGTCGAATTCCACGTCGATGGAATACAGAGAAGAGACCATCTCCTCCGCAAAGCTTCGTTTCACCTGCGACGCGAAACTAGATTTGAACACGAACAGTGCAGGGTATTGCTAGAAACAGATATTCTCTCTTTCAATGAGATGAACTTACGATGGCAATGCCCAGTTTGTAAATTGTCCAGCATCACCAAACGAGAAAGTTTATCACTTCAGCTTCAACAAGGATTGAAAAGCTGCAAGATATATATAAATACGTTATGGTCAAAGGTGCTAATAATCTACACTTACAATCAAGTATCGTCCTTTTAGGCTGATTGTCGTTAATAAGATACACATTGTTAAACGTTAAACAAATAGCGAGTTTCAATGAAGATATAGTTAATAGCTATATTTAGCCTCACCATCCAGCCGTAGTTCGGGTAGCTCTCTGTGCGGAGAACCGCCCGCGGGTCATACGACGTCTGCGGGTACGAAATATCGTTGTGGGCGGATACGCAGTACAGGCTCGGATCTTCTAGCAGGAGTGAGGCCGTCTTGTTCAGGAAGCTTAAAATGAGGGACAATTTGCTCTAAAACGCAAGTAAAAATACGGCTACTAATCATATAATATATTAAGACATAAAATGATAATGTTAAAAAAATGCAATGACAAGGTAAAAAAAATTGGAAAGAGCAGATATCCGAAACGAAACATAAAAAGGCTTGAAATAATTATCAATATAAGCTTGATAAAAGTGTTCCATCAAATAATTATCTATCTATCAACGCATATTACCCCCCCCAAAAAAAAAAATAATAATAATAATAATAATAATAAAATAATAATAATAAATAAATAATAATAATAATGATAATAATGAATAAATAAATAAACACACAAAACATACACAAAGAAATCCGGCGACACCTGCACGTCTTCCTCCAAAACAATGACGAACTGCGCGTCGGGGTGCGTCCGGAGCGCGTGGTCGATGGCGAAGATGGAGTGGCGCGCGATGGCCGTGGAGATCATCGCGTGTGTCTGGTACGTCGCTATGAGAGGAAGGTCAAGGAGCTCGAGGAACTTGGTCAGCTCCGGGAAGCGGGTCATTGTGTACGTCTTGAAGCGGGATGTGCTGAATCCTCTGGCCCGACGCAGGAACTTCAT